AGAAGTTGACAGAGGCGGGCATGCCATTATCGTTGGTCGGAAGCCGCATGCCATCGAAATACTGAATCAAACTCACGCCCTCGAAGTCGCCAGTGCCGTTCGCGAGGATACCAGGGACGGCGATACCAACGTTTGGCTGCGTGTAGTTGCCGATGACAGCAGTGTTGACGAGAAGCGTCAGGAGTGTCTGCTGGTTCGCCGCATTATTGTCCTTGAGCAGTGCGGTGGTGTAGTAGTCGCAGATGCTTGTGTTACTCGGACGCTGAGCAGAGGCAAGCGTCGCAGCTGCGAGGCTGTATGCGACGGTGGAGGACTTCATGGTTGCTGATTAGGGTAGCGAGCGTGGGAACGAGAACGAGCGAGGAGATCTTAGAATCGGACGGTGCAGACGGAAAGGAAATGACGGCAGTGGGTACCTACAAGTACTGTAGCGCAGATTGGCGGCTTATGGGTACATGGCTACCTCACGTCGCAACGGGTTATTTGAGTTTACTCTCCGCAATGCTTGAGGGGGCTGCCAATCTCTCGGCGTGCCTGGGAGGAGATGTTGATCTTGGGCTAGTCTTCAGGCTGGAGGCTGCGCCCGAGCGGACGAATCGTTTGTGCAGCCCTCGGCGCTGAACGGAACGCTTGCGATGATGGTGAGAACCAGTCTTGCGATGATGAAGAACGATTCTCATGACAGCCAGTCGAGATCTAAGTGCTCATCAGAGCCGGCAGAATAGGTACTGACTACCTCATAGTTCCAGAGCTGTATACCTCGGGGCCAGCCCAGTATGATGGCAATTCACGCCTCAAGCCGGCGCTACCCCAGAAGGAGATTTGTTTCGTTCAACAAGGCCGCAGATGTGCGCTCCCAGAGTGGGGAGTGCCCGCGCGTCCAATCATAAATGGCCCTCAATCTTCTACTGCAGGAGAACGTCAATAAATGACAGCATGTCTCACCTGCACGTCCACGCGGCCGGGGCACTAAGACCGCTAAGCTCACGCTACAAGTAAGTATATAATTAGAGTAGCACATAACCTTAGTAGCGAGCCAATGGACAGCCACATATTGGTCATGAGATCGTTGTGCCTGGTCTGGGCCAGGGTCGTGGATAATAAGATGCTCCTCGTTTTCGAGTCCAGTCTGTAGGTACAAAGTCGTATGTATTGTCCAGATGACAAGCGAGACGTCCTGCACATAGAAAGTATCTTGTCACATGATGCGCGCCCCAGGCTGCTAGAGCATAAGATCGCTGCGATCTTCGATGCGCACAGGGCAGTGGTGTAGGGCCCGGAACGCGTACTGAAATTGCCATTGCCTCTGGCAAGGAAATTCCTTAAGCCAGCCCAAGATCCCCGGCAATCTTCCATGCAGCCAGACTGTGACAGGGGTGACGGGCTGCAAATGCTCTAAAACAGCATAGGGATATCGCGATGTTGATGAGCCTGCAAATATCAGTATGTGGTCACAGCGAAACAGCCGGAGAGTACTCGTGAGGTGGAAAGCATGCCGTGGGGTAGCCCGGTCCTATCTGCTTCTCGTCCTTCCCGTCGCCGGCCCGTGAAAGGGTGTCGTTCCGCCGCTCCTGGCGCTTCCGGTCCACCGCCTCCCCCTCTCCTAACTCATATAGCACATCGTCGAGACGAAAACGTTCCAAGTAAGAACAAAACGATAGGTTTGAACAGAGTGGGAGTCGAACCCACGCGGGCAAAGCCCATGAGAATGCGCTCTGTGTACACAGAGAAGCCAGGAGCTTGAGTCACACGCCATAACCACTCGGCCATCTGTCCGAGGGTGAGATGCAAAGGATTAAATGTCATAATCCCTAGATCTACCGTGCGCCTTGGCGGCGGAATCGCAGCCGCGCTGGGCGAACAGCTCATGCCTTCACATGTCAGCATCAAGGACTACAATATCGCAACGATCAGACGCAACAGCAATATGCCATCCGCCATATCCGTGCCACCACTAGCATCAATCCCGGATCTCTCACACAAATTGCCCAAGCTAACTCCACGACGACGGCCACAACGAGAGGACCAAGACGCCAACCCAGCACCTGCAACTCCGGCTTTACCAAGCATACCTGATCTCCATACACACAGCTACTCGCGGCCTTCGCGACGAATACTTTCGGAACATGATCATGAACTCTTTCAGATATCGCCAACACACGACCTCATCGTCAGCTTCGTGTTCACGCTTTCCGACTCGATCCGCCAGGTGAAAGTCAGTGATGTTGCGAGGTTACCAGCTACCCAGGAGCCGATAGTAGTGACGCTCCTTGAAGTGCTGGACGAAGCAGATGCACTTGTCAAGGAGTGTCCTGCACTCGACACTGGCTCACGATTCGGCAATCCTGCGTTTCGGACGTTCCTCGAGGCAGTCGACCAGAAGCTGGCAGCATGGCACTCACGATTAGGCGTACCTGATCCAGCTGTCGAAGAACTTTCGCCCTACATTGCGAACTCATTTGGTAACGGCTCACGTATTGACTATGGCTCTGGTCACGAACTGAACTTCATTCTCTGGCTACTCTGCTTGCGCCAGTTGGATGTTTTGCCTGTTTCTACCTTCCCTGCCCTCGCCCTCTTGGTCTTTCCTCGATATCTCACACTCATGCGCGATATACAAAGCACGTACTACCTTGAGCCGGCTGGCAGTCACGGTGTCTGGGGACTCGATGACTACCAGTTCTTACCCTTCCTCTTCGGCGCAAGCCAGCTCATAGATCATCCTCACGTACGACCACTGAGCATTCACAACCCGATGATCGTGGAGGAATGCGCGAAAGACTACATCTACCTTGACCAAATCGCATGGGTTAACGCCACGAAGACTGTTCAAGGTCTACGGTGGCATAGCCCAATGCTGGACGACATTAGCGCGGCGAAGTCATGGAGTAAAGTCGAAGCTGGCATGCGACGAATGTTCCTGAAGGAAGTGTTGGGGAAGCTCCCAGTGGCACAGCACTTCATGTTCGGGAGTCTGTTGCCGGCTGCTGAGGGGATGAGCGCTGATGCTGAGAAGGTTGTTGGTGAGGAGGATGTGGGTGAGGTGGAGGTTACGGTCGATGGGATGAAGCACAAGCACAGTGCGAACAGTTGGGGTGATTGCTGTGGGATCAAGGTGCCGTCTGCTGTGGGAGCGAGACTGGAAGCGAGGAAGCATGGCGAAGATCCGGGATTGAGGAGACTGCCATTCGATTAGACGTAAAGGGTGTCTTCTCGCCCTCCATCAACCACCTTTGTAGTCCGTGCACCATGACGGAGTGAGCTTCGTAAAGTCTACTTTCACATGTCAATATAGTTGGTTTGGAACATCAACGTTGCAGGACTTATTAGTCGCCAGCTGTACATTGCACTGCATAACATACACGTCGCGCTCGAACCCATACAAGCCGTGTTCCCATCTCAACGAGGGATCATATACAAGATGGATCCTCAAACGCACACCTCACTCACCACCATCCTGTCACGCCTCGACCGCACCATCTCAGCCTCGACCTCCCAACATCTCACCTCATACGATCACGTGCGCATACGCGGCAATCTCGATCATGCGCGCACACTACTCCTGACGCTGGAGAAGCAGAGCTCAGGGATTCGCGTGGCATCACAGCGAAGTCAGGCACAGAAGGAGCTAGTAGGCTACCGGGAACAAGTCAAAGGGCTTGGAGAGACTCTGAAGAGCCTTGAAGATGCGCAGGTAGACGATGGAGACTCCACAGACTCCGAGGACGACGCAGAAGACGATGTACGAGCGCGAGAGTATGCGCCAGCACGATCAGACGCCAATGCTGGACTAGACGTCGGCGACAGACCGATGGACAACGCAGCTGCACAACTACACAACGAGCTACGAGCACGAAAGCCTCTCTCAGCAAACGACAACCGCTCGGCAGCCTCCACCTCTGCGCGAGAAACCCTCTTCCAAGGCCGAAGTCCTCAAGCCTCCACCTCTCAAGACCCCTCAAACACCGAAAGCCTGCTCTCCCATAACCGCACCGAGCAAGAAGCTCTAACAACTGGCCTCCTGTCACTAGCTAAAGCGTTGAAAGAGTCCTCACAGCAATTCGGCGCGAGCTTAGAGTCAGAGAAGGACGTCCTCAAGCGCGCAGAAGGTGGGCTGGAGAAGAGTGGGCAAGGAATGGAAGCTGCGGAGCGAAAGATGGGCATGCTGAGGAAGATGAGCGAGGGTCAGGGATGGTATGGACGGATCAAGTTGTATGCTATGGTGGCCGGGCTGTGGATTGCAGCGTTCCTGTTGGTGTTCGCGATGCCTAAATTGAGATTTTGACTGCCTGGTCTATCCTGCCCGTTCCTTTCTGGCAGATTTTCTGGTGTGCCTCCTGTGATCTCCCAACGCCTTGCGCCTATCTTGTTCGCGTGTTCGTGATTCCCTCATGCCTCGAACTTGGGACTATACTTGCTCAACGCTTGTTGGAATGCCTCCCTCTTCGCGTCCAGATCTTCCAGCAGCTCTGTGTCCTTAGGCAAAGTCGTCTCTTTTCCTGTGATCGTGTCAAGCACATACTTGTCCACCAGCGCCGTCTCGTTCTCGGGCTCCAAAGCCAGTGCCTGTCCCAATGCTGACTCTGCCTCCTCAAACCTATGCAGGTGAAGCTCGGCCACAGCCTGCGCAATCAGACTTGCCGCCGAGACCGTCGAAGGACCCTGTGCTAGCTCCTCAAATACGTAGAATGCTGCTTGGTATGCGTCGCCGCCCTGCTCGTCTCGTCAGTATCCATATCTGCAGGGCTCTTCATTCAACGAGACCTACCGTCCTCATCCCGACCCACGCCTCACACAGATTCACACCCAGGGCATCTTGTGCAAACGCTCTCGCACTCTGCGCCTCCTTCTTCGCCAAGTCTACGCGGTTCTGCGAGAGGTGGATCTGCACGATCAGAGCCACCGCATCCAGACTCCCCTCGTGCTTGGCGAGTAATTGCAGTGCTTGCTCCTGCTTGCCTGCTCTCGCCAAGACCGTACCAGCAAGGACCTGCACGTTCACGTTGCTGCCATGCTGTTCCGCTAAGCTCTCTGCTTGCGTCGCAGCATCGTCCTCGGAGCCATTGAGGTACAGTGCCAGTGATCTTACGGCCGCGAGATCCGGACTGCTTGAGGCTTTTGAGGCAGAGATGGTGGAGAGAACTTGAGAGGCTTGACCGAGGGCTAGTTGTGCGCGGTATTGAAGGACTTGGACAGCGAGGCGATTGGACTCTGAGAAGGAGGATGCTTCGTAGTCTGAGAGGACGAGGTTGTACTGCGCTTGAGTGAAAGCTGTATGAATGTTGACGAGCTCGCTGTCGGTACTGAATGGATCCATGGTCGTTTGCTCAAGGTCTCAAGGTGTGCCAGGGCGGTAGATCAAAAGTCTGGAGTGGCAGTATGTACGTTGCTACGTTGACAGCTGTTGTGGTATGGCTTGGCACAAGGTTCACTTTCATATGTCAAGTCGCGCCTTCCACGCTCGTGACTTCTCAATCTTCAACATCGCACATATGACTTTGGCAATTCAATAGGTGGCAAATCAGCAAGCTACCATGATGATCCTCGACAGCGCATTGAATGCGAGCGTAGAACGAGCGCGACGTAGCGCTTACTACACGGTATATCAATCAACTTGAGCTGCTTCCACAACGCTTCTCAGTACCTCTCGAAATCTCCCTGTTCATTCGAGTCCTCCATTCGAGTCCTCTCTCTCGTTTCCTAATCTACTGTCTTCGCGCCTTCCAGCCATCCAGTGTCAGCCACAAATGCCTTGCACTGCTTCGACAGAGAAGCTCCCTAAGGATGGCAGTACTCACGGTCACGTCGCCGACCCTCTCGAATCTGAAGAGTCGCGCTCCGCCAGCCAGTCGACATCCTCGCGTCCGATATCTGCTACTAGACCAGACAGTAAGCCTCTGGCGGACCTGAGTGATATGTACAAGCCTCCGCCCGTATCGACGAAGAAGAGTAAAGGCGTCGAAGCCATGAAGCGTTCCATGCATGATCCTGAGAGTCAGATAAGCAGGCGTGAAATGCTGGCTGAAATCTATGCCTCCGCCGGTATCGATCGAAAAGGGCATGTTGATCGACTGTCTTGAATGCGCTATGCAGGAGGCTCAGACTTAGTACCAAGTGCGTGAGATGAAGAATGCCTTACTTTTCTTCCACGACCGAAGTCCTGGCGTCCGCGAAGAACGGGCATACGAGTAAGATGTCTTCGACGAATTCCTCTGGATGAAGCTGAGCAAGGAGGACGCCACGCCTCTGGGACTCCGGGACTTCGGAACCATCGACGAGTACTCAGTCGAGACCAATAGCACTGCAGCCCGGCATAGCAACATCGGACGGCAACTCATGAGGGCAGATGGAGCACGTGCTGCTCTATCATACTGCGACAGCACGTCGCTACACGTTATGGTCGCGAGGTCTGTTTGGAGTTGAGACCGGACGGTATCGTCAGACAGCAGAGGACAAGTGGCCTGCGGACATCGGGCGCACACGTATCCTGCACATGACCCGCCTTCAGACATCATGCCATGCTTGTCCAGATTTCGCATCGAGACATACGAAATCTGTCAGCACACCTGTAATTCACCTCGCAACAGACTTTCGATCCGGACGAGGCCCATCGCTACTAATACTATAATTATTGAAATTACGTACTCTTCCGTCGAATCACCATCGATCGCAATGCGATCATTTCCCCGATGGTCTAGTGGTCATGATTTCCGCTTGTCAAAGACGAGTTCTAGCTTGCTTACA